TGCTTGGAGGTCATTAAAGCTCCATAGAGCACATTGATCTTCAGTTTTACCAGCACCTACAACTAATCTATTCTGCCTCTCTACTTGCCTTGGGCTGATGTATTTTCTCTTTAATCTTCTTTGCCCTTCCCTTTGGAAGCAACTAGGTAAGAGATCCCCTCATGCTCTACCAAACTAGCTGGATAGCATGTGGGAGACATCTCAAACTTCAAAATATCATAACCAGCCTCCTTCACTGCTTCCTCCAGAACCTCCTTCTCCAGAAAGAGGCAGGGAAACTTGTGTTGGCCAACTACAAAATGACTACACTTCATTGTGGTCACCATCAGCAAGTGACCCCCTGGCTTTAACAGGGAGCTGATGTTCTTCAGTGCAGCACGGTAGGTACTCAGGTCTTTGCAATTTGTTCCCAAACAATAGCACAAGAGCAGGCAGTCAGCAGGGGGCAGAGAGGCAAAGGTCACAGAGTTGAATTTGGTGACATCACATTCCAGAACCTGCTTGACCGTTCTTCGTAATTTCTCTTCCTTCTCAGCCCACTTTTTCCTGGAAAGATAAATATAACACTGAAGAGAAATGTGCTACTATTGTGCCAAAGAGTCCTTCATATCCAGGACCAGTGCACACAGTCAATATATCTGCAATCGGCTCAGTGGATGAGTTACATAGTCACATGAAATCTCTGTTGGGTGGAATTCACCTGCTTAAGGTCAGATTTTCAGAAGAGCTCAGCTCCCATTTAGCCAGAGTTGGTCACACTTTATATGAAGCTCCCATTTCTAATGGTTTTATAAGGGTTAGTAAATGACACAGGCATCTTACAGACACAAATACTATGCATTGTAAATGTTTGGTTATCAGCAAATCTGTAGAAAATGGTGTAAATCGTGCACCATTTATTCACCCTTTATAGCCCTTCATATAAATGGAAGATTATATAAAGAGTGGCCAATAATCTAAGGAGCTCAGCATCCCGTGTGCTCAGCTGTTTGGAACATCTGGCACTTACGGCCCATTTTGAAGGCTAAAATGGGAGTGAAGGGGGGTCTAATCCTGAAGTGTTTGCCACTCTGCGGCGGGGGAATTTACCCTTGTAGGAGTAAACCTTGCTCTCATAAGCGTTGCAAGTTCAAGCTCTGAGTCTGCTGAATTCATAGGAATCCCTTGCTAGGGGTAGCTGGAGGGGAGTCCTGGTTCCAGACATTTTAAATTTTTCCTTTACTTCAATCCACTTCTTTCTTTTTATACTTATTTAACACCACCTAGGGTGACCAGATGTCCTGATTTTATAGGGACAGTCCCGATTTTTGGGTAATTTTCTTATATAGGCTCTTATTACCCCCTACTCCTATCCCGATTTTTCACATTTGCTGTCTGGTCACCCTAACACCACCATAACACCATACATAATAATTATTAGGAAAAAAGCACCCCAGGGAAGGAAGACCAAAAAATTAAAAGGGCTTTTAAAATATTTTAAGTTGAACTGTAACAGAACTAGGTCTCCCTCCCGTACCTGTCCCCTTCCAGCTCACACACGTATTTCACCACTGGAGTCCAGTCAAACTCTCCTGGCTCTTTCTTTAGCCATTTCTGCAGTTCCTGGCAGTTCCGATCCATATAGTTTGTGACGATGATCTCCTTGAAGGACTCACAGGCAGAGAGCAGTTCGAAAATGGTGGGAGCATTGCCAATACGAATCAAGGTGTTGCCTTTAACACCATCTGGTTTGGAATGCAAAATACCATGTATCAGCACATACAGCAGCAGAGGATGGGAGAGGAGGAGGTTTGGGGGGCCGAGGGTGCAAGCTGGACAATTTCCCCTCTGGGTTTATAAAGGGTTTTAAGAAGGCCAGTTCCAGGAGAGGTAAAATGCAGCGAAGGACCCCTGACTGGCTTCAAGACTGAGCTTGATAAGTTTATGGAGGGGACGGTATGATGAGGTTGCCTCATAAGCAGGTTGAAAAGGATTAGATTTGTATCGGTAAACGTCAATAAACGTTGATTTCACACCACACACACACAAACTGACTAAAAAGCATTTCCATTGATAATAACTGAAATATACAGCTAGCCAAAGTAAGAGAAATCCTGCTCCAGAACTTAGTTGACTTGGATTTAAGGATATTTAGCTGTAATATTTTGATATGTGATATTGACAATTGGTGTTTCAAAGGTTATAAAACTTTAACATTTTAAATCTCAGCATCTACTGTCATTAAATAATTGTTGTTTGACTCCCCCCACCCGAGTGTCATATAATTTCCCACAAGTGTGAAAATTTAAATCAATAAAAATAAAGAAACTTAAAAATAAACATTAACCATATATATAAAAAATATTGAACTCTGCCAATCCTGCCGGTAAGTCAGATTTTTAAGCCTTCTCTCTTTTTTTATTGCTCTCCTCTGGGCTCTGCCTGATTTCTCCATATGTTTTTTAAAGCTGTCCCCAGGGGATCTGATCTCATCTTTCATTTGAATAAATAAATTAAATTAAAGCTAGTTTCTAG